GGAGGGTCAGGAGTTCCAAACAACCTGAGCTAATATAAAACAGCAATATCTGGTCTCAAAACTAAAATCAATCAAGTGTGATGGCTGAGCCCAGCACTTGGTAGACTTTGACAGGAGGACTGGGAGTTTAAGGATATCCTAGGCTAAACAGTGGTTCTAGGCCAGCCAAAGGTACTAAGCAAGACTCTGTCTAAAAAAAAAAACAACAAAACAAAAGACAAAAAAACAAAACAAAACAAAAAAACTAAGGCCAACAAAAGGGCTCAGTGGGTCAGGGTGCTTGCAGCTAAGGTGATGACTCAAATTCCATTCCTCAGGATCCTAGGATAAAACACACTGTAAACTGTCCTCTGACGTCCACATATGTATGTATGACATGCGCCCCTCCTGCCATACATATATAAGTAAATACTTTGGGGGTTTGAGTAAGAATGATCCCCATAGGTTCATGTATTTTAATGCTTAGTCTCCAGTTAGTGAACTGTTTAGGAAAGATTTAAGAGGTATAGCCTTCTTGGAGGAGACATGTCACTGGAGAAAGGCTTTGAGTTTTCAAAAGCCCAAACCAGGCCCTGTTTCTGCCTGTGGGTCTCTCCTTGTGTGTATCTGTCTCCCCTCTGTCTGCCTCTGCTCTGTCTGTCTCACTTCTGTCTCTTTCTATCTCTTGGTCTCTGTGTTTCTCTGTCCTTCCCCCTGCCCCTCTCTCTGTAACTTGTGACAGATCCGCTGTGAGCTCTCAGCTGCTGCTCCAGACATGCCTGCTTTCTAGGTTACTGTGGTTATGCTGTTCCTCATAGCAGTAGAACAATAACAAAGACAAATATCAAAGCAAGACAAACCTACCACACTAGAGACAACATGATACATAATGGCAAAAACTAGATGTCTCTCCATAAGTTCAGGAATAGAAATAAAAAGAAATCTGTCCCTAACTACTACTAGTACACATTGTACCAGCAATCCTAGTCAATTAGGACAATAGAAGATATACGAAAGGGCAGAAGTTAGAGCTGAAGCAATAACATTGTCTTATTTACAGATAGGATGATCGTGTAGATTGGAAATTCTACAGAAAAGAATAACTCGTAGTAATAAGTTTGTTAAGCATCCAGGGTACAAGTTTAACATATGAACATCAATTCGATTTTACTCTTACATCCTATCAAAAACAATTTTTTAAAAATGAAGTTTAAAACCATTATCTTTATGAGGCAGGGTCTTACCATGTAGCTGGCTAGCCTGGAACTTACTGTAGAGATCAGGCTATCTTCAAACTTGTGATGGTCTTCCTGCCTTTGCCTCCCACGTGAGACAGTGCTATTTATAACACTTAATAAACTGTAGAGCATTTAAAGGGTGGTGAGATTGCTCAGTGGATACAGCTCTTGCCACAAAAGCTTGATGGCCTGTATTAGATCCCCAGAACCCATGTATCTTCATTTGCTTTCCATTGCTGTGATAAACGCCATGACCAAAAACAACCTGGGAAGCAAAGGGTTTGTTTGACTTAACTTTCCAATCACTGTCCATCATTGGAGGAAGTCAGATTCCATCCTAGAAGATGGAACCACAGCAGACTACTGCTTACTGGCTTGCTTCCTCTGGCTTCTGCTTAGCTACTTTTCTCCTGTAGCCCAGGACTACCTGGGATGTTACCACCAGCAGTGGTCTGGTCCCTCCCACATCAGTTAGCAATTACGAAAATCCCGGAAATCCTGTACAGACCATCCCATAGGCCACTCAACTCCTCAGCTGAGGTTCCCTCCTCCAAGGTGACTGGTTTGTGTCACAATAACAAAAACCTAATCAGCCCACTGGGAAAAGAGGGAGGAGAGAAATAACTTGCTATGTTGTCTCTGAGCTCCCTACATGCACCAGGGTACATTTGTGTGCCCACATAAGCACAACACATACACAACAATCACAAAATGTTTCTAACAGTGTTCAAAAACATAGGCATAAATATAAGAACTATACACTGAAACAAGGGAGAAATTAGACATGAACTGAAAGAGACAGTACTATAAAGAAGTCAATGTTTGAGGCTGGAGAGATGGCTCAGCACTTAAGAGCACTTACTCCTCTAGCAGAGGTCCTGGGTTTGATTCCCAGCACCCATGTGTAACCATCATAACCATCTGTAACTCCACTCCCAGGGGATCACATGACTTCTTATGACCTGTATAACCATCATAACCATCTGTAACTCCAATCCTAGGGGATCACATGACTTCTTATGACCTCTGTGGTCCTTACACATACATAGTGCACATGAATGACACGCAGATAAAACACCCATGCATAATAAATGAATCTTTTAAAAAATTTTTATTTATTTACTTTGTATATATGAATATTTTGTTTGCCTTCATGTCATTTGTGTGTACCATGTGTGCCTGTTGGATCCCCCAAAACTGGAGTACAGGTGGTTGTGAGCCGGTATGTGGGTACTGGGAACTGAACCCAGGTCCTTTGCAAAATCAACAAGTGCTTTTAACCACTGAGTCATCTCTCCAGCCCCCAAAATGAAATGTTTTGTTTTGTTTTGTTTTTTTAAAAAAGGAAGTCAATTCTCCTCAAATTGGTCTCTAGATCTGGTGTACTTTAGATAGAAATCCCAGGAGGAAGATCACAGCCACCAGAATGAAATTCAATCCCTTCATGACTTCTGACCAAAGCAAGAACCTTGAATGATATTTTGGTATACCTTCCCACATTTGGAGGAAGATCATGTTTTCCCCTCTTCCCAAAGAGCTGAGACAGAAGTATAATGTTCAGTCTATGCCCATTTGAAAGGATGCTGAAGTTCAGGTTGTTTGAGGACACTACAAATGCCAGCAGATTGGCAAAGTGGCCCAAGTGTGCAAGAAGAAACATGTCATCTACATTGAACGAGTCCAGTGAGAGAAGGCTAGTGGCACAACTGTCCATGTGGTCATTTACCCAGCAAGGTGGGCATCACCAGGCTAACACTGGACAAGGACCACAAGAAGATCCTGGAGAGGAAAGCCAAGTCCTGACAAATAGGAGAGGAGAGGGCAAATACAGGGAAGAAATGATGGAGAAGACGTAGGAGTAGAGGCGTCACATACGGGACTTTCATTAAAGACTGCCTAGGTAAAAGAAAAGAAAGGAAGGAAGGAAGGAAGGAAGGAAGGAAGGAAGGAAGGAAGGAAGGGAGAGAGAGAGAAAGAAAGGGAGAAAGAAAGAAAACAGAAAGAAAGAAAGAAAGAAAGAAAGAAAGAAAGAAAGAAAGAAAGAAAGAAAGGGAAGGGAGGACAAAAGAAAGGAAAGAGAGAAGGAAGGATAGAAAGAAAGAAAAGAAAGAAAGGAAATCCCAGAAGGATTTGTATAGAAATAGAAAATACAAAGGATCTTGAATACTTGGTCAATTTTTTAAAAGCATGCAGTTAGGAGAAATTCTCTCTTAAATTAAATTGCTTTGTGTGTATGATGGGTGGGCATTCATGCCGCAGCACACATGGAGGTCTGAGGATAGCTTTGTAGAGCTTGCTCTCTCCTTCTAACTTTCCACAGGTTCTGGGGTCTTGCTCGGATTGCCAGGCTTAGGTGGCATCCAAGGCATCTCTTGGACCAGGAGAAATTATGTTTTGAGAATTATAAGTTCCATATAGGCTCACATGTTGGTTGGGATACTTGGTCATAGGCTGGTGGTCCTGTTTTGGAGGTTGTGGGGGTTGTGTTGAGTTCCACCAATTTCTGTTAAATTCTGTTTCCTAATCAAAACTATGTAACAACCAGTTGTCAACCCCCTTTCCACACTCCCACCACCACAGGGCCACACGCTGCCTTGCCGACTCCTATGATGGACTATGTAGGCTTCAACCAGAAACCAGTGTAAATCTTTCACTTGTACAGGCTTCTGTTTGTTATTTTAAATGTGTATGAGTGTTTTGCCTGGGTGTGTGTCAGTGCACCATGTACTTGCAGCTCCCAAGGAAGTCAGAAGAAAGTGTCATATCTGCAGGACTGGAGTGACAGAGATTGTGAACTGCCACATGAGTGCTGTGAATTGAGGCAGAGTCCTCTGGAAGACCAACCAGTGCTCTTACCCACTGACCCGTCTCTCCAGCCCTCTTCTCAGGTGTCTTTTCACAGTGAATGAATAGTAACCAACACAGTTCTCACACTACTTTACTACTCAAGGTAGAAACAGTGTTCTAAGAATAGATACAGGGGTCAGTGGAAGAGAAGAGTGAAGTAATACATACAAGATTAATTCATTTTTAACAAAGTTACTGTCTTAGGGTTTCCATTGCTGTGAACAGACACCATGATCAAGGCAACTCTTTCTTATAAGGGCAACATTTAATTGGGGCTGGCTTCCAAGTTCAGAAGTTATGTCCATTATCATCAAGGTGGGAACATGGCAGCATACAGGAGGAGCTGATAGTTCTACATCTTCTGAAAGCAGCTAGGAGAAGAGCAGCTTCCAGGCAGCTATGATGAGGGTCTTAAAGCCCACACCCACAGTGACACACTTCCTCCAACAAGGCCACTCCTCCACACAGAGCCACTCCCTGGGCCAAGCATTCAAACCACCACAGTCATCAAGTAATTCAGGGTCCTCTCCCCCTCCCCCCATGTGAGAATTGGCTCACGAGATCTGTGGCTTCTTTATCCAGAGTTAGCCAATCATATGTTTAAAAGTATTTTTTAAAACTTCTGTCCCCACTGAACACAGAAAGACTTTGATCCATAGTCATTATCCTGTAAAACAATACTGAATAGCTGCTACTTTTCTAGCATCTACGTTGTGTTAGGAATATAAAGATAAACAGGGGGCTATGTAGGATACATGCAAATACCTTGTCACTTTATATAAAGGACATCAGAATCTTCAGATTTAGGTGTCTTTGGGGTATCCTGGAAGCAACCATCCAAAAATACCAAGAAGATTTTGGGGGGTGGTTGCATTTGAGTGGAAAAATATAAACCTTTCCTTACTTAACACTGTAGAAAAGTTAACCTAACCATGCTTGCTTCAGCGGCACAGAGACTAAAATTGAAATGATATGGAGAAGACTATTAGCATGGTTCCTGCACAGGATGGCACACAGATTTGTGAAGCATTCCATTTAAAGAGAGAGAGAAAAGAAAACTCAAAGCAGAGCACAAACATCAATCAAGAAAACCACGAAAATGAGAAATGGGGGTAGAGCCTCACAACTTTATGATAGACATCCTAGGATATAAAACAAAAGAAAAAAGATACCTTGGATTTCACAAAAGTTAGATTTCTTCTCTTTTTCTGAGTCGCCATTAAGATTCCTAAGAAGCCAGGCATAGTGGCTCAGCCCTGTCATTGTAGCCCTTGGGAGTTGAATCAGGATGATTGGTGTGAAACTTGAGGCCAGCCTGGGCTACATAGTAAGTTCAAGCCAACCTAGACTATTATAACGAGACCCTGTCTTAGAGAGGGGGCAGGAGAAGAGAGAAAGAAAGAAAAAGATTCGTTACAAGATGAGGTAGAAGCAGAGGCAGGTGGATCTCTGTGAGTTCAAGGCCATCCTGATCTACAGAGTGAGCTTCAAGACAGTTATGGCTAAACAGAGAAACCCTGTTTCAAAAATCCAAATATAAATAAACAAGATGAGTCAAACAGGCTAAAAGCTTTGAACAGACAAGTTACAAAACTACACAAATGCTGGGTGAGCACAGGAGAAGATTCTTAGCATCAATCATGAAGAACAGCACGCCTACACCTCTGCTTAGAATGAGTGACTGATCATTTCTGAGAGGAATATCAGATGGTGCAGCCACTGTGGGAAATGGCTTGGCAGTCCCTCACAGAGCAAGCACTCTCCCCACAGGATGTGGCAACTCCGTTCCTCAGTGTTTATCAGGAGAAATGAAAACACATCTTCCCAAAGGCGAGAACATCCAAGACAGCTTTATTCATTCATGAAAGCCCCAAATGGAAGCAGTACAAACTTGTAAACTGTCTGTTCCGACAGTCCAAATACTGAAATCACATAGTAATTTGAAAGAGGGACTTTATTATGTAATAATATAATTAATTCAGTTTTTTAAAAGACAAGTTTTTACTGTGACCCAGGCTATTTTGGAACTCAATGTGTAGTTTAACCCGAGGCCAAGGATACACCATGCCCAGCTTAGCAAAAGAAAACAACTCGTTTAGTAGATATAGTGGCTCCTGCCTGTAATCCAAACACTTCGAAGTAGAGGTAGGAGAATCATGGTAAGTAATGGCCAACCTGGCTACACATGAGGCCTTGTCTCTGGAAAAGATGAATAGCAAAGAAAACCAGAGCAGTTTAGCATCGGAGCAGCTCTGAAGGTCTAAAAGAAGTTGGAAAAGCCTGGTGTCCTTCAGTGGTAGAATACTCACCTAGCACGCACAAGGCCCCGAGTTCAGTCTCCAGCACTTTAAACAAAATAATTAAGGATTATCCTAAACCTGAGGAAGGTACCCAAAGAAACAAATTGGAAACCAGGACTCTTCATGAAGCTGTGACATAAACTTTTTAACAACCATGTCTGCTAATATACAAAGTCGGCTGTGCTACCAAGGCTAGACTTGGTAGAAAAAACGCCCGAGTACAGGCAGGAGACAAGTACCCAGAAGAATCATGAACCTACTTGCAGACAACGTGGTGCAAGACCTGGTGTTGGAAACACTCTCGGTGGCGCTGGTGAGCAGAAGCTGAGAGTTGGCACACAGGAGTCATGAATGTCCAGGCCAGCTGAGATGGGCAGTATCCTCGATGCGAGCACTGTTCAAAGTGGCTCTGGGCTAGGGTTGTAGTTTTGTAGGTGTTAATGTGATGGGGACATGTAGCCGGGGCAAGACATGAACAGCTAGCCCATGCATGTGCCGCTGGCATAGAGGAGGAGAATAAAACAAACTCACCTGAAGGGAAACTCACCTTCCCGCTGCAATGGCTCTGCAGCGCCATCTACTGACAAAACGTCGTGCTCTCACTGAAAAAAACTTAAAGCTGCTGTGGGCCCGGACTCTTTGGGGGGAGTCACCAGTCAGATATCCTACATAATTTTTTATGGTTGGGGTCACCACAACATGAAGAACTCTACTAAAGGGTCACAGTTTTAGGAAGGTTAAAAACCACTACTTGTAATGAACTATGGCGGAGCAGGTAAGGGAGGGAAGATTGGAAGAAGCAACAGATGTGTAACTGCCATGTCTTCCCACAGGTGCAGTGGGAAAGCCACCTCTGGCATATTGAGATGGGCAACCATGAGACACTACTGTGCTTGTAAAAGCAACAGCAGGGATGAACTGTCAAAACAACAACAACCTGTGGGTGAAGAAGAAAGAAAAGACACAAAGGGTAAATACCATTACATGACATTCTAGAATGTTCAAGACTAATTTGCCGAGAGGAAATGTCAATTAGTAAACTAAGAATAGTGGTTTAGGCTTGTAATTCTAGCACTTGGGAAACTGAGGCATGAGGATCACGTGTTCAACACCCTACCCCCCAAACAAAACAACAGAAAAAGAATACGTTGTATCTTCTGTAATTATACCTCTGTAATGCCTATTTTCAAAATGTCATCTGAAAACAGGAGTCTATGGTGTAGGATGGAGACTACTATCCTTTCCAAACCCTGCTCCCAGGGAACTCCTGGTCAGGAGCTTTGGTAGAAGAGAACATTGGAAACACATCTTCCCCCAGGAGGTACAACGTAAAAGCGGGAATGTTCTCATGGCCAGACTGACTTAGTCTAGATTACTCTCAGGATACAACTGAAGCAGTATCCTGTTCAGGAAGCTTAAGCCATGAGAGGGTGTGGAACAGAAGAGCCTGCAGTCTTCCCATTTAGTGCTTTAGCTTGCTTTCCACAACTGTGATAAACACCATGGCCAAAAGCAACTTGCAGAGGACAGGATTCATTTCATCTTAAACTTTGTAGTTCATCATACAGGGAAGTCAAGACAGGAACCTGGAAGACAGGAACTGAAGCAGAGGCCAGGGAAAGACACTGCTCACCGGCTTGCTCCCCAGGGCTTGTTCAGCCTGCTTTCTTAGACACTCCAGGACCACCTATCCAGGGGTGGCACTGCCAAAGTGGCCTCAGCCCTCCCACAGCAATCATTAAAGAAGAAAATGTGCCAGACAGTGGTAGTGCACTGGGGAGGCAGAGACAGGTGTATCTCTGTGAGTTTGAGGCCAGCCTGGTCTACAAAGCAAGTTGGAGGACAGCCAGGGCTACATAGAGAAACCCTGTCTTGGAAAACCAAACCAACCAAACAAAAACAAAAAGAAGAAAGAAAAAAGAAAAAACTGAACTACAGGCTAATCTGATGGATGCATCTTCTCAGTGGAGAGTCCCCCTTCTCAGATGACTCCAGCTTGTGTCAAGTTGACAGAAAACTTACCAGCACATTTAGCCAAAACCTGTCACACTGTGTCCACAGTCTAGCACCAGGCCCATGTGGTGTGAGGGGACAATGACAAAAGACTGGCTTATCAAGGTTGGAGGTTGTAATGCATGCCTTTAGGCTCAGCACTCAGGAGACACTGGAAGGTAGATCTCTTGAGTTTAAGGTCAACCCCAGTCTTCACAGGAAGTTTCACATCAATCAAGGCTACAGGATGAGATGATTCAAAAACAAACTGGCTGATGAAGCATCAGGGTTCAGGGAGTCGGGAGGAGCAGCCCGCCAAAGAAAAGGCCTCGTTGAAGTTTCCACAGACTGCTGAAAGTGAGTCACTGAGAACTGTACATGAAACCAACACCTGCGCCAATAATAACTACGAGAGGGAATCGTGAAGAGGCTGCAGGAGTGTGGCCGCCAGCTTCTTTATAAATAAAGCCTGGCATGGCTTGCTAGCGAGTGTCTCCTGGATGGCTGGTAGAATGGAGGTTCACAGACTTGACTTTTTTTTTTTTTTTTTTTTTTTTTTTTAAAGCTGTGGCTGGGCTTTCAGGATAAACAGGCATCCTTTTTTTTTTAATTTATTTATTGTATGTAAATACACTGTAGCTGTCTTCAGACACACCAGAAGAGGGCATCAGATCTCATTACGGATGGTTGTAAGCCACCATGTGGTTGCTGGGATTTGAACTCATGACCTCTGGAAGACCAGTCAGTGCTCTTAACCACTGAGCCATCTCACCAGCCCCCAGACTTGACTTTTTATGTCTGTATGTTCTCCTCAAAATTCTGTAGGTTGATAAAGGATATCTTCCAGGACCCAGGAATGAAGATTTAGGCTAGTCCTAAAATATCAGCCAGGCTGTGGTGGGATATGCCTTTAATCCCAGCACTCTGGAAGCAGAGGCAGGGTCTCTGCAAGCTCCAGGCCAGCCTGGTCTGCAGAGTGAGTTCCAGGCCAGGGCCACATAGTGAGATCCTGTATCAATAATAATAATAACAATAGTAGTAATAGTAATATTGTCTCCTCTGACTGAGTATGGTAGTGCACACGTGTAATCCCAGCACTCTGAAGACTGGAAGATCAGGAGTTCCACAGCACATTTGACCTAGCCTGGACGACGTAAGACTCCAGATTTTGGTGGTGGTGGTAGTAGCAGTGGTGGTGGTGCTTTTGTTTTGTTTTTTTTTTTTTAAATCATCCCCTCAACAAAACCATAATTTCTCGTATAGGTTTTATAAGATGACCTCATGTGGTTAGGGATGTAGCTCAATGGTAGAGTGTAGGCCTAGCGTGTGGACCGTCCTGGGTTCAATCCTCAGCCCTGCTAAATGAGTGTGAATGAATGATACTAATCAATAAATACTGTTGATAAAAAGTCCCTTCCTTTCCTGGTCTGAGAAGTGTCAATAACCCAGAGCGGTCTTACTGAACTTCTCCTGTGCTGTGTATGCCTTGAGTGGTTTTTGTACGGTGGAAGGTTAGACTGATAGCCCATCATACGATGCTCTCAGTGCTGGCTACTATCTTACAGAGTTTTAAAACTGTGTGTATAAGTATCTTGGCTGTGTCTGTATCTGTGCGACACGTACTTTACTGTTGCCTTTGGAGCCAGAAGAGGGTGATGGACTCTGTGCAGCTGGAGTTTAGGGCAGTTGTGAGCAGCCGTGTGGGTGCTAGGAATCGAACCTGGGTCTTGTAGAAGAGCATCTAGTTTC